CCTACCCTGCCAGTACACTGCCTATATTTCCTTCCATAGGAGTGAACCGTATAAATTATTTCTATTTTACCCCTGCGCTATCTATAGATTATATGCTGTAAATTTTCATTGTTTTCCTCTTTTGGGATTTCTTCCGAGTCAAATACTTGTATGTTATTTATTCATTCATTCATTTTAAACTTCTCATTTATGGCGAAGATCTACAATGATATTGGTTTGATATTTTGGATTAGGGGGCTTTATGTGAACTTTAAGAGGGGTGAATTAGTTTTAAGGGTGGTGCTTCCTGCAACAGTGACGATAATGTGGTGGCGATGATGGTGATCGTGTGGTGTCAGAGTGTCATAGGCAGCGATGGTGGCCGCAATGTGGTGGCAAAATTTGGCAGTGCAATGGTGGCATTGTGGCAGCCATGGTGTTGGAAATGTGGTGGCAAAATTGATAGTGTGACAGTGGAATAATTATTATCTCCATGGGCAAATTGGGAAATGTGTTAGCCCTACCAAAATCTTTTTAAGGGGTCTTATTTTAATAAATTTGCACTCTTTTAGTCTAGTTTGGGTTCTCTTTTTTTTTAGTAACAAAAAAGAAACACAACAACCGGAACAAGATCGTACAAAATGTTAAGTCTTTCTTTTCTACCATTCTCCTAACTTAAGCATAAACAGGTTGAATCTTTATGCCACACAGTCATAAAAAGGTTAGTTCGAAACCTGGAAAGTAATTGGAGGCTATGTTTGTTTGGCTTCCATTCCACACTACAGACATATATATATTCAAAACAAAACAAAACAAAACAAAACAAAAAAACTAGCTGTACAATATATAACAATGAAGAGAAGACTATTTCTTTATGTCTGTACTTTCATGGCGCTCCACGTCGTCATCATCATCATCATCATAATATTCTTCGTCATCCTCTACGTCTTCATCCTCGTCGTCGTAATAGTACTCATCATCATCATCCTCTTCATCATCGCCATCGTAGTCTTTACTCCCATGGGACAGCAGACCACTCTGCTGCTGCCCTCTTAACCTTTCCTGAATATGATCCCTTATGGCAGTTCCCTGTAAAGCGATACAAACCCCCCCAAACATGGAGGATTCAGATGTCTATATTGTCTAAAAATCCCCCTCCCTTTGTGCCCGAAAGTGGGAAAATCATTTCCAGACGCATGAAATGTAAAGTTACATTTGTCTTGCTTACCATTTTATGGCAACCCTCCTCAAACATCTCAAGAAACCCAGCAACCCACCGGTCGGCATTTTCAACCCACTCATTTCGATGCATACCCGCAGTTTTTGCAACTGTTTGTATCTGTTGAATCTTGGATAACGATCGGATAAAAATGTCAACTCATAAAATTTTTTACATAGACACTCTCTGCAGAAAAAAGGTTTTACCTTTTCGCCAACTTTCTCTTGTTGCTCCTTAACCTTCTCTTGCAACTTCTTCAGCCTCATATTCACTCTCAGGCGTTTTTCCTGCTTACACAATAAACAATGGCTTCTCAAACCCTTTCGAAGGGTACCAATAAAATGTATATAATAAATATAAAGCTTCCCGTTGAATGAATTATGAAAAAAAGGAACATGCCTTTACATAGCTGACACCTAATTCCTTCCTCGAATATCCACGATCCAAATTGCGCATGACATATTGGTTATAATCTTTAACTATCCTCATTATAATGTCTGAAGTCGAAATCCCATCAGTGCGTTGTGTTTCTTTGAATCTCCCAACAGCTTTCACCTGCAAAGAGACCCCTTTTCAGAAAATGAAGGTTCTGTTTAAAACGCAGCAAATGTAAACATCATGCTTACAAATTCATAGACATCTTTTCCAGCTCCACTAGTATCAGCATAACTATAAAATGTCAAAGAAAATACACTAAACAACATAAATTACCACTCCAAGTCTCGTGGAAAAAATGGGAGGGGTATGAGGCAACAAAAGGAACAACAAATAAGTTTAGAAGACGTACGGAAGAGCATCGTGGGCCACAAAATCAATTTTGTGCTTGTCAAGAAACTCCTGATTTATCACCCATGGGGCATCAGGAATAACTTCATCAACCCACCTACAAGTAGTGAAAATCGGCGGCAAAAGAAATGGTAAGCGTTTCCTTTATCGCATACTCCATGACACAACAAAAACATACCCAATAAAATCCCAAAAATAGTAGGGTCTCAAGAGGGTGTGTGTATGCCGACCTTACCCCTACTCGAAAGTAGAGAGTCTATTTCCACAAGACACCCGACTCAAATACAGAAGCACAGACAAAGCAGACATAGTAGCACAAATAATGTCATAGCACAGAGACAAGAAACACACATAACGCCATACCGGCCCAAGCAACTAAAACCAAAACACAGAAAACACACATGACACATGACACAATTATACAAACGCAAAGGAAGTATGACATCGCTTTCTAAAAAATTTAATCACGCTGTTAAATAAATACTCATTAAGTTATAAAGTATGTTTAGAAATACTAATAATCCCTATATCCCAAAAAAGATTTCATCTTTCCTTTTATGCCCGTCCCAAAATAAGGTTCCAATTTCCTTTTGAAGAAAGAATCGTGCGGTTTGTCCTACAATTTCTAGTAAAGCACTTCGAGGGTGTTCTTCGATTCTATTTCTAATATAGCTATCACCATCTCAAATATGTTCACCATAGTAAGAATGCATTCTTAACATGGCTATAAAATGTGACCAAACAAAGGTGGGTGTTAACAAATTGAGCCATCGTCCCAGAAATTCAATCCCAAGACAAATAAAATTACTTTCAAATTATGGGTAGTGCCTGAAAGTGGCTAAGAACCCACTTGCAATGGCGTAGAGATTCATAACGCTCCTCTGCTGTCATGACGGTTTTGCCCTTGAACTTGTGCGTCGTATCATCGTTGCAACATCCCACCAGCAAGTACGTGTTTGGGAACCTGCATAAAAAACATCAAAAACTGCTAAGAATTACAGAAGAAAAAAGAAGAGTCTTTCAATTCCCAGAAAAACACGCGCAGCGGTCGCTCGGAGAAATTCGATGAAATCATTTAAGAGAGAAAAAAAAGAAATTCAAGAAAGGAAAACAGACTTACGATTTCTTGGCCTGCTCCAGGGAGCGGGCATGGCCGAAATGGAAAAGATCGTAGATCCCGTCGGCGTAGACGCGAACCGGCCGGTCGGTCGGCGGCGGAGCATGGGGAATTGAATTGTTGTTATTATTAACATTACTCGGGGTAGAATTGGAGGCGGGGAGGCTGCGGTGGTTCTCCTCCGGCGCCGCCGATAAAACGCCACCGCTTTCTGACATCGTCGTTCTGCTTCTCTTTTTGTTCCCGTCCGGTGAGGCCGCCCTCCGGTCTTGGCCGTTTATATCCTTCGGATTAATGACGACCATTTAGCGTAGATATTGCGTAATTTTTGACATTAAATTAAAAATAAAGACTATTCGTAGTAATAATTGAGGATAAAATGGACCCGGAGGGAATTTCGGAGCCTAGCCCGGATTTCACGCGTATCCTATACCAAGCAAGGGCAATGCACCGCGGCCCACTTCAACAAGACATTGGACAAGGCCCAATCTTATTCAGTCCAAAACATAATTGTTTTTAATAAAATACAAGTAACAATTACCACATAAATTTCTCTATTACAATGTAGTACTATTATAAATATCGATGTTTGTTGTTAACAAATAAGGGGCTGTTTGTTTCAGCCTCTTAATGGTTCAGATGTCTGAATGGTTCAGCACTTAATGATTCAGACTGTTTGTTTCAGCCTCTTAATGGTTCAGATGTCTGAATGGTTAAGAGATTTGCCTCTGAATGATTAAGTATTATACAGAGTCTGAATGGTTAAGACCTCTTATCTGAATTGATCAGACATTTGCTTTTGAATAGGTAAAGCAATATACTAGCTCTTAATGGTTCAGCACTTAATGGTTCAGACCTCTTACTGGTTCAGCACTTACCTTTTCAGAAGTTGCCAAACATCCCCTA